CTTGATCTTCATTTCCTTGAGCAGGCGGCTCAGCTTGGTGATGGAAATCCACTCCTTGTCTGGTTTTACCTCCATGGGTGCCATGTCCTCGAGCATGACCATGGCCCCAAACCTCTGTGGAAACCACGGCATCCTATTGGCCACTTGTTGTTTTCCAGAAAAAGAAGGGAGATCTGGTTTTGTAAATTTAAGGTTTGAGGATCATTCTTCTTATGGTTTGATAGTCTATTTAATACTCATATGTGCATATGTGTTTCCATCAAATCCACCCCTCATTCCAGTTACTTCCCTGCTCCCCTGACCCCCACCTTCCTCTCCCAACTTCATTGTTCTTTTAGTTTTTAAAAAATACTCATTGTGGATGCAGATTAAGCATTTTAAAAAATTCTTCTCTCATATGTCTGGACCTCAGTTTCTACTCCCTCCACTCCTCCCAATCCCTTCCTCCCATCCACTTCTCTTTTGTTTCCCTTCAGAAAAGAGCAGGCCTTCCAAGGATCTCAATAGAATGCAACATAACAAATTACAATGAAACTAGCACAAACCCTCATATCAAGGCTGGATGAGGCAACCCAGTAGGAGGAGAAGGATCCCAAGAACAGGCAAAAACATCTTGCTTTTAGCATTCTTAGTGCTTGTGAGAATTGTTGAGTATCTCAGATGGCTTTTATGGGTTACATTTCTAAATATTTATTATACTAGAATTTGAAAAACACCAAACTATTTAAGCCAGATTATTTAAAGTACCATTAAGAGCTCACTAATATTAACCTATTAAAACAAAATAATTACTTATTTTACAAAGCTATTGAAAAATATGCCTTCAAAATAATGTTCATAAAACTCTTTGTATCTCAGGGGAAGAAAGATGAGATTTTCCTTCTATTTCTACATTCAGTCTGCTGCTGTATTGTTTGGGTTGAAGATGGGAAAAAAATCCTTCTTCTAAGATAAGTGGCTGGAAGGTAGAGGAACACGCTAGTAACTTTAATATAGTTATAGATATTATTCTTTATAGGTATTATACCATACCATAATTACCAGATAGTAAGTTCTTAGAATATGAAACCACATGAATAAATTCTTTGCACATAGTTTCATTACTATCCTCAAACTTGAAGGACTCTTCTATTTAGTTGTGATTGTGTAACATTTTATATTAGTCATTTGGAAAGTAGTGATTTCCTGACTCATTAGTGTCGTCTAAATGCTGACACATCTCATTGACCATCTATGACACACATGTTCATGTGTGTTTACATATGTGTATGTGTGTTTCATGACTCCCGAGTATCATATAAATGCTGACACATCTCATTGCCCATCTACGACATGTTTACATGTGTGTTCTTACATATGTGTGCATATAAAGCATTTGAAATATCACCACTAATCTCATCAATATATGTACCTGTTGGAAAAATGCCAGATCATGACTGCAAACAGAAACTCCCCCAAATACTAGGTTTTGCTTGAAAGATTCAATTTTATTATCCTGACGAATTCTATGTTGTTTTTCTTGAAATGAAAAGTTCAATTTGTTCATTTTCAAGAAATGGATGTCATGAAGTTAATTAGGAGAATCTATATAATTTGCCAGTTTTCTGTTTTTTCGAGAAGAAAACAGTTCAATAAAAAGTGTGGCCAGTTCAGCTCATAAATTGACCATTCGAGGACTTTTTCTACAAAGAACCAGGATTGAGCTAGGGGGTGTTGGCACACGCCTTTAATCCCAGCACTTGGGAGGCAGAGGCAGGTGGATCTCTGTGAGTTCGAGGCCAGCCTGGTCTACAAGAGCTAGTGCCAGGACAGGTCTCAAAGCTACAAAGAAACCCTGTCAAAAACAAAAACAAAAAACAAAACAAAACAAAACAAAACGAAAAAACCCCCACCAAACCAGGATTGAAAGTTAATAAAACAAGTGATTGTTTCTGTTCCATCAAGAGCATTCTTAGGGTAAAGTTTCAGAAGGCAATCCTGCATAAACCCGTGACCTCGGGTGCCCCTGCCTCCTTCCTGCCACACCAGAGCTGGGTCTACTTCATACTGTCTTGTATCTTCAGGGCCAATACAACTGGGGACGGTGAGGAACTGGGGATTATTGGTTTGCAGGGGTCTTCCTGCTGAGTGGCGCCCATGTTTGACTTCATGAACATCGAAATGGATTTGGAGGCTCCCAGGTTTCCCTGAGGTGGTCTGTGAGAACTGTTACCTTAGGCCACACTACCTGAATCTTGCTAGGTAGCATCTGCCTGCTCACTTCCTTCCCTGGACTTCTTTTCAGGCCTTTCAAAAGCTTGCTCTGCTGTCCTAGGGCCAGACAAGAGACAGACTCGGGAGCTGTTTTCACGAGGCAATAATTACAATGTGTGACGACCTCCGTGAAGGACAGTCTCTGGGATCTAGAAGGCCCCACCAGGGCTGAGTAGACTTCTGGGAAGAAGCCAGGCTGAGGCAATAAGAGAGGTAGGAGAACATTGGAAGGGTCCTGCGGTGGTGGGAGCCTGGGAGAGATGACAGACATGAGGGTTGGGGGAGTAGATAGGGCTCTGTCACCCAGGAGATAGGAAGCTCTATCAAGATTTTAGTACTAAAATTTTAAACCCACAGAGTCAGTTCCGATCATCTTGATGGCCTCATAGAGGAGACTTTTTTTTTTTTTGAGGGCATCTTCAGCCTGTTAGGCCTTGGGTATTTGTAGATCTCTGAATAGGCCAGAACATTTCCTGACTTTAGGCAGTCATTGCTTAGTCTCTTCTTGGGCTTTCTGTCCCCCTAGTTTCTGCCAAGAGAAGCCCCTTAGCTCTTTCTCTAGGTGCTTCTGAATGCAGGCTCCCGGGCCTTAATTTTTAAGGGTTATATCAGTAATGTGACTAGGGGCACATTCTGGGTCGCTGTAAAACAAAGTGTTCCCAGGGCACAGTCCCATTGTGCTGGGATTCTTGATCTCCATTGCCTTAGTCACCCGCTCTGACCCGTCTTATCCTGGCCCTGGCTGAGCACAGTACCCTGCTCACTGCATGGGCTTGGGTGCGTGCCTCCGGGAGAACAGTGAGTAAACCTGGCACGTATTCAAGGGGCCCTTTGCTACCAGGGAAAAACAGGGGTCCCCTCTTGTGGTTTTCAGTCTCATTAAAAACATAATTCTAGAGCAGACTCAACCCGGGGGAGCAAGGACAATACTATACAGAGTTTAAAAAAAATCCAGGACAGACAAGCTGTAAATCCTGGCAGCTACCTGGAAGAGGAAGCTCAAGCAGAGAAAGAGAAAAAGCCGTGGGCTAAACCAACAGGGAGGTGAGCAACTTGGCGGACAAGGAGTCACGTGATAGCGAGGGCCCACTAGGGGAAGAGTAAAAAGGCCCAAAGCATAATGAGGCTCTAGCCAACACCCTAATCAAAGAGACAATAAAGAAGAGAAAGGAAAAGTTATGCCTTTCTGAGTCAGGAAGGCAAAGCTAACAACCCAGGGGCAATTTGCAGGGACTGCTCTAGGGGGCGGGTCCTCTGGGAAGGAAAAAGAGCTATCTCACTGAGGGGAAAATTGTTCCTCTTCTCTCTCTAGCACATCCAAGGTGAATCCGCTTTTGTGACGTGTGATTGATCTGCCTGACTGGAATAATCGGTTTTTAAGGGTAGGAGACAATGCCATGTCTCCACGTCAAGCACTATTCTTTTTGGCTAGGAGGTGACAGCATTACCTTGGTGGGCGTCTGCGCAGCTGTGACACTCAGTGCAGCCGTGACACACAGTGCAGCCGTGACACTCAGTGCAGCCGTGACACTCTGCAGCTGTGACACTCAGTGCAGCCGTGACACTCAGTGCAGCCGTGACACACAGTGCAGCCGTGACACTCAGTGCAGCCGTGACACTCAGTGCAGCCGTGACACTCAGTGCAGCCGTGACACACAGTGCAGCCG